CGGGCTGCTCAACCAGCCCTCTCTCCTCTCTCTCCTCTCCTCTCCTGGGAACACAAATAATCCAAGGTATAATTGCTTCTCTCCTTTGAATGCTCAGCAAAAGCAGAGCAGCATACTAGCTGTAATGGGTTCTGTTCTTTGATTCTATATATTTTTATGGGTTTTTTTTAGGTGTAGCTCCTGCTTCTTTGCCCCTTACATCATTCTTCTTTAACTATGAATTGCTGAGGAGGATCTATAAGCCATCAGGCAGCTGCCTGGAGCTGGGCAGCAGGACACAGACCATAGAGAGTGCCTTAAATCCTGCCCTTCTCTAGTCCACGTGGACCAAAGACAGTGTGTTCAAACCCCAGGAGGAGGAGGCACCATCCTGTTTTTGTGCCCTTACACAGCAGTCAGAGGCTGGAGTTTATTCCTTGGCTGAGGAATTTTGAACCCACAGCTCTTCCTTTCCAGGGGAATATTCCAGTGCTACAGGGGGGACACATTTTCTGTACTCTGTGTGAGCTCTTCTGTTAGAAAGATTAACACAGGCAGAGAGAGGCCAGATAATTTTTGTACCCAGTGGCTTAAATAACAAATGAAGCAGAGTGCTGGAGCTGGGGCTGCTGACCAGCAACTGCTTGCCTGCTCATCTGGAGTCTCCAGTCCCTCATCCCACTTGCAGTCCAACCAGGCTCTCATCCCTGCTCTCCTGCTTTTCTCCATCAAAAGGAGAGGTGGAGAATGCTGCCTTGCCAACTCACACATTACAGCAGATTGTCTGCTGATTGCATCTCTCCTCTTCCAAAAAACCAATTCTCAACAAATAAGGGATAGTATTTGCCTGGGAGAGCTTCTGCCAGCAGTGAAATGCTCAGATGGAAACACGAGGGAGGGAAGCCTGGCCAGATGAGAAGGATCTTCCCCTCCTCTGCCTTTTTTATAGCCATCAAACTGTCCCCACGGAATCTTGACATGTTAAACACAAAGTATTGAACTATCTGTCCACATTGTCCTGCTTTGCTTTGAGGAACTGAATATTTCTGGAGTGATCACTGAATCTTCCTTCCTTTTTTTCCTGTATTTTTTTTATTAGGGACCCCCTATTCTCTAAATATTTAAAGCTTTATTTGTTTGACACGTGCATTAATTGACTATGAATACAAAACCTCCCACAACGAAGTGACAGATACACCACCTCGAGCTGTGATTTCTTCTCTTCTCACAGCCTAAGGCCTCGATTCTGCAATTACACACATTTATCAGTACTCCAGTGAGGAATCCCAGTGGGACAACTCACACTAGTGAAGTTAATCACATCTGTGAAGATCCGAGCCCCACAGTTTTTGGCTTGGGACTGTATTTGGATGAGGCATCTTCAGGGAGCCGAGATCTGAAGGAAGAAGTGTTTGATGCTTCTTATGAATAACGTCGGGTAGGAGAAACCTGAAGGCAAAGGTGTTCTCAGACTTGAAACCCAGATGGGGAATTGCCACGGAGGAGGAATCCTCACACCTCCAGCCCTGCCACCAGCTTCCTCCTGCCCTCCACAAGCCCCCACAGAGCTGGGTCTCATCTGTCCAGTGGTAAAATCAGGGGAACAACGTGTGTCCAGAGTGATTTGAGATCTCTCTGCAGAATCCCGTGGAAGAGAAGCGATTACAAACCCTTGAATATCAATGAACCCAAACCCCGGGAGAAGCCACGGAACCCAAATCTGTGCGCTCATCAGGACTTCCTTAATTAATCCCTCTATCCTCGCCAGCTTAGCATACTACGTTTCCTAATTAATTAATTAAAAAATGAAGTATCCCAGTGCACTATTTAAGGCATTAACGGCAGCGGTGTGTGATGACTACACCGTGCTGCTGGGAGTGGGTACACTCAGGGGGGGGTTTTGGCCCTTGCACCTCACCAGAGCCCCTCACAGGGGGAGGAGGGCAGGGCAGTGGGAGGAGCAGAGAGATGGCTTCTTGTCCTGGGCACAGTGGTAAATGATGTGCCCTTGCAGCATCATCAGTGGGCTCGTTTACACGGCGTCTCTGGTGGGTTTTAATCAACACTCAGGTTGTTTTTACCCTGGACTCCAGGAGGCTCCCAGAAGTCACCCATCCTTTCTACCATTTTCCATCATTTTTCACCACTTTACTTGCTGTGGGCTCCAAAATCTGCCCTTAACAGAGAACACTCTGATGCCTTCAAACACACTGATCTATAATTAGGCTAAAACTGACTGCTCAGGAATAACCAAATTAGCGTGGCTGCTAATGAATGGCCAATCTCAGGCACATGTCAAAGGAAGAAAAAAAAAACACTGAAACAGGAGGCAAATTTTAAAATCTTCAAAGTTTAGAGCAATCATAATTAGGCTAAAACTGACTGCTCAGGGATAACCAAATTAGCGTGGATGCTAATGAATGGCCAATCTCAGGCATGTGTCAAAGGAAGAAAAAAAAACCACTGAAATAGGAGGCAAATTTAAAAATCTTCTAAGTTTAGAGCAATTCTTAGAAACACAAAGCTCTTCTCTATGTTTATGAACAAAAATCTTTGCACTGATGCTGCTTCAATCTCCATAACACCTCTCTGCCAGTGTTACTGTAATCCCACCAGTCAAAAGGCAAATGGGATTCCTTGGGGTTTCTGTTGGCAATTTGACATAAACTGAAGAGTTTTTAAACACAAATTCACTGATTTAAGGAAAGCAAACTGACTTACCAAGGTTGTGGATCTGCTCGAGGGTTTGGAGGCTCTGCAGAGGGATCTGGGCAGGTTGGATCAGTGGCTGAGGTCAGCTGTAGGAGGTTTGACAAGGCCGAACGCCAGGTCCTGCATGTTGGTTACAACAACGCTCCAGGCTTGGGGAAGAGTGGCTGGAAAGTGCCCAGTGGAAAAGGACCTGGGGTGCTGGTGGCCAGCTGGCTGAAGAGGAGCCAGTGTGTGCCCAGAAGGCCCATGGAATTCTGGCCTGGCTCAAAACAAGTGTGTGCAGCAGGAGCAGGGAAGGGATCGTGCCCCTGTGGCAGTGTTGGGTTGAGGGTTGGATTTGATGATCTTAGAGGTCTCTTCCAACCTTAATGACTCCATGATTCTGTTGTTTGCTGTGTGTTTCTGAGCCTGTGCACACTGATTGGGGTTACCCAAGGTAACTAGTTTTGCTACCAACACAGCAGTTGGGACTAGTAGCCCAATTGCAGTTTCTACACCCAATAGTTCTGCTCCTACAAGCTACAGAACAACTCTACAAGCAGGTGCAAGGTGGAAATGGATATTCCTGTTCCACTGCTCTAACAAACGTGTAGCAATGACTCTTGCAAATAAACATTTTCTCTTCTTGCTGAAATAAACTTCCACTGCTTTTCAGGCAACACCAAGCTGTATTTGGGATGGGATTTGGGGGGGTTAATACAGCTGGAGTTACAACAAAGGGATTACAGTTTTCCTGCTGGGAGGAGAAGGGAAAAAAAAGGGCCAAATTCTTTACTGTAGTCATCCAGCCTGGTCTACAGCATACAGTAAGAAATTACCACATCAACATTCACAAAACCAACCCCAAACTTCCCTAAAACTGGCCTTAAGAGCAGGTGGAACCCCTGTGATGCAGACCCAAGACCTGGCCCCATGTTACACAGCCAAGTTTTAAAGAAGAATTCAATCAGCCTGCAAATGTTTTCTTCTTTTGGTGATTAATTCTCTCCTTACCCCCAAGGGAAACTAATGGGACACCTCTTTAATTATTAGAAATATTCAAAGCTATATTACAGTATTGGTAGGTGAATAGAGGACAGGTTTAGATGGCAACATTTTACAACTTGGTAAAACACAATCTCCCTGGAAAATACAAGTTATCAGAATACATTATCATCACCCCTCCTCATCACCCAGCTCCTCTTTGCAACTCTGCCACTGGCTTGAAGTGGGACTTTGAGCAAAATAGTTACAACTGCTTTCCTCACTTGTAAGTTGGCAGCTACCAATACTTGTCTTCCTCATAAAACTGAGGACTCAGAGTCAAGTGAAGCTCTGGTGAAGAAGCAGACGTCCTGTGAAGACTGTTCCACCATGGATTAGCTCTTCTGTTTCTCAAGTGCACTGTAACAATCAGTACCAGAGGGATGGACTGAAAACAAGCCCTTTGAAAGAGATACGGAGTGAGAGCAGAATGTCTTGCACTAAGGTTATGTATTTAACAGTTTTACATGAAATATTTATATATAAAAACTTTGTTAAGTGCTTTTTTCTCCAATTTAAAAATCTAAAGAATTCAAAAAATAAGGCATTTGATATTTGAAAAAAGTACAGATTTACAAAATGTCTCTATTCTGTCATGAAAACTCCACACCAACATTATACACTTGGAAAAAAGGAAAAAAAAAAAAAAAATACAAACAGGATATATTACAAATTTATGTAGCAATAACTTAGTTCATCCCATGCAATAAAAAGTACGTTAATCATGATACACAAGCTTTGAAGTTGCCTAAACTGGAGGGCTTCGTTTTGGTTTGGTTTTATTTTTGTCAATGAGTTTTGATGCAAATTCTTTAGGGCTGTGGCACTTGAGATTTCTGGTGGCTTTTCTACTGAGAGCTGAAGTGTAGGTAACAGTGAGGAGGACAGGGGGGTAACAGAGCAGCTGTTAGGAATCGTTCCAGCTTTGCTCAACAATAGCTGAAACTCTCTTCTCATATTCACGTTTGTTCTCCTGATAGAGCTGTGCTGCCTGGCTGTTGGCTGGGCTGTTTGGATTGGGTTCATCCAGCAGAGACTGTAAAAAAATACAAAAAAAGGGAAAGCCAAAGGTGAGACAAGCTACTTTTTAAATCAGGAAATATTCTGACTTTCAAACCAGCTGCATTTCAGGAGGCAGATGGGACTCAGGAGCCCAGCTGGAAAAGTAACAAGGAGTTCAACTCCTGGTTAGGCACCATAATTATGCTCCTGGACCTCAAATTACACCTTGCACAAGCATTAGGAGTGTGCACACTGCTGTGGTCACAGACCTCACAGATATGTGGTCACCTGGGCCACTTAGCAGCACGGTGCTAATTGGTTATTTGGTAATTACACTGCTATGGTCACAGGGTTTAAGAGGCTTCCTACAACACTGCTGGAGAAAAGTAACAGTCACACAGCAGAGGAGTCAATGAACATTTCTGCTGGGACATTTTCATAGCATCACTGAAGGGTTTGGGGTGGAAGGGACCTTAAAGATCATCTTGTTCCACCCTCCTGCCATGGGCAGGGACACCTCCCACTAGAGCAGGTTGGTCCAAGCTCCACCCAACCTGGTCTTGAACACCTCCAGGGATGGAGCATCCACAGCTTCCCTGGGCAACCTGTGCCAGTGCCTCACCACCCTCAGAGTGAAGAACTTCCTCCTAACATCTAACCTAAATCTCCTCTTTTCCAGTTGGAAGCCATTACCCCTTGTCCCATCACTACAAGACCTTGTACAAAGTCCCTCCTGAACTTTCCTATTGTCCCCCTTTAAGTACTGGGAGGCCTTAATAAGGTCTCCCTGCAGCCTTCTCTTCTCCAGGCCAAGCAACCCCAACTCTCTCAGCCTGGCCTGCCAGCAGAGCTCTTCCAGTCCTCAGATCATCTTCATGGCCTCCTCTGGACCTGCTCCAACAGGTCCATGTCCTATTATGCCAAGTGATGCAGGTTTCAGCAGTGCTGTCTCCTTGAGGACTTCATGGGGCAAGGCTTTGCAGTGAAGTCAGTGTTTCAAACACCAGGCAAACCTCTACATCTGATGTCCTATCTTCACTAAATGCACTTAAAAAAGGAATCCAAATCACTAACTGTACAAATATACCTGATGGCACTTTCAGAGCTCAAAATTAGTGATCACATAGGTCACACCTCAGCCTTTACTTGAGCTAAAAAGCCCCCACTTGGCTCACAAGGTCCCCTGACACAGATCCCTGGTTCACCCCATCACCAAGCTGCACCTTGTGGTACGGAGACTAACAACATCATCATTATTTGCTGAAAGAGATGCAAAGTTACCTGAATGGAAGTTAAAATAGATGAGACATCATACGTTGGACTCCAACGGTTCTGAAGAATATCTAAACATATGCTGCCATCTGCATAAACTGGAAACACAACACAGACACCAGTCAGAAACCATCCCCTCATGGTCTGGTAGAGACTCAAGGCAGAGCTCCTGTCCCCTCTGCTTAGATCAGTGCCCTGGGGAAGAGGACAGCAGTTGTGCCCCACAGTCTCCTGCAGTTCAACACCTTGTATTTTGAAGGAGGTGTTACTGGAATTAACAGGATGCTTAAAGGGAAAAGAAGGGGTAAAGATCATGGTGTTAGCACAGGAGCTGGCAGATGTGGTTTCCTGCTCCCCTGGTGGGACTGGCCTGTGTTCACACTCCTCAGGGAGCAGAGAGATGTCTGCTGTAGGGTGGAATCTCCTGCACCAGCTGGGGAACCCACACCACCACACACTGAGCAGTGGGAGCTCCTGCCCTGTTTGAACACACTCTACACTCCCTGAGAGACACACCAAGGAAAGTGTGCCTGAAACCCCCCTCCTGCCAGGGTACCTGCCAGGGGTCTTCACAGAGCTTGTATGACACCAAGACTCACCCCTGAAACCCCCACACCCCCCTCTGCTGCCCGTGCCAATTAAAAGCAGCACATGGCCCAAGCCCTGCCAGGGGCACAGTGGCCTGTGTCTTACAGATGAATGGCTGAGCATCAAAAAGTCACACAACTGAGGCCAAGGTCAGCCTCTGTTCAAGGAGGGCTCAAGCTACAAGAGATGCTACAACAGGCTTATGCTTTCTGCCCCAAAAGGGTTGCCCAGGGCTGTGCCAGGCTGCCCAGGGCAGTGGTGGAATCCCCATCCCTGGAGGGGTTTCCAAGCTGTGGAGATGTGGGGTGAGGGGCATGGTTTGGTGGTGACCTGGCAGTGCTGGGCTAATGGTTGGATTTGATCTTGAAGGTCTCTTCCAAGCAAAACAATTCTACAATCCAACCCCTAAACTGGATCTATACCCTGCTTGGCTACAGAGGGACTTGGGAAAGTGAAAGGCACATAGTTTTCTCCATGCAATAACTAGGTAAAAGCCACCAAGTGCTGGAGCAGAAATACTGGCACTGGCTCCTAAGGCTGCCCTCAGCACCCAGTTCAGGCCAGCCTCCTCCTCCTCACTCCCCTAGGCCTGGGCTGGTCCAGGTTGGCACAGTGAGCCAAGCAAGGCACCATCTGGGCTGAGCTCTTGCCCGAGGTCTGGCTCCATCAGCTCCCTGCCCCCACCCACAACTGCTGTTCAATGGGCAATCTGCAACCAGAATTGCCTCTTTAAGCCAAGCTAAGTGCAGCTGCTGCTGAAAATACTCCCAGGCTTTGCTACTGAGGTTATGTATTGATTAGAGAGAGACTGATAGCTGCTCTTAATAGCATCATAATTCTTAATTTTTCATCAAGCAGTTGCTATCCTAGACATCTCCTTAGGAGGTGGTGATGAAGAGGAACAGAGAGCTGTTAAACATCCTGGAGCCTGGCAGAATATATGACCACACCATGGTATATAATGGGTATTATGGCTAAATAAAAGTGATTTACTCACCATTTGGATGGAACATTTTTGATAAAAACCTAACAGTTGGAGGCTTATTTGGATATTCTTCCGAAAATTCTATTACTAGTTTAAAAGTACCTGTCCAAGGAAACATAAATACAATCAGATCATCACCAGCAGAACAACACCTCTGGGAACACACACAGCAGTTAATTTATGTGCTCCACGATCAATACTTCTCACCATTACAGGAACAACACTGAGGCTGGTTTCTTTTCCTATCTTTCAAGTGATAATGGACCCATGGAACTAAACCCATGTGGCAAAGGCAGCCAGAGCCAAAATCAGTCATCCTGCTGGCCTCCCCTTCTTCTGTGACCCAACGTGCCTGTTTTGGGCACTTCAAGGTGTTTCATTAAACAGGCCCCATGGTGCCAGCAAAGAAACTCTGGAATTTCATCACTGGCCACCTCACCCTTTGGAGCTCGTGAGGAAAACCCTCATTATGGATCAGTGATTACCTTGCTGTAACTCCCCCAACCCAGCACAGAGAAAAACCCATCTGCTGCTGATCACAGCCATAATGATTAACCTCCTCATTCCTCATGTGCCTAAGGGAGGTTCATCACACACCAAGTTCCATGTTTGTGTGCACACTCTGTGCTCCTGCCCCCTCACCAAGGTCCCTGCTCAGAACTGGGCATTTTTCAACTGTTCTTCATTAGGAGAACAGAGATAATCAAATGTGCCACCAAGATGAAACCAGAAAAGCAAATTGTCTTGTTGAGCTCAGCTGTGGAGATGTGAGGACACATCTGGACTGACTTCCTCAGCTAAAAGCTCCAGTGGGGGTGTGTAACCAAGGCTTGAATCAAGCACCACTTTTTAGCCCTCCATCAACCACTAAGATAAGACACTGCTTCAACCAAAATATGCCTTTTTATAGCCAAAAAGACCTTGGTCCTTCCCTTGCTTGCTCAGTTTGCTCCAAATTACACACAGGTAACATCTATTATTCTTTCAAAGCAGAACAATGTGAATCCTGGCAAAAAAGAGGATATAGAAGCTAGTGGCTTACCATCTTCAAATGGTGTCCCTTCTGGCCTGAAAGGTTGGAAAGACAAACTCCAGTTAGAAGTGATCACTACCTCCTTCTAAACAGGCACAATGAATTTATATCTCCTTCCTCACCCCCCCCAAAGACACAGATATAGACAATAATTTCAATATTTAGCAAGGTAACCAGAGGTAGCTCCTGAGAGCTTTGCCATCTCTCTCCCAAAGTGGAGATAGCCACCTGGCCACCAGCCCAAACCAGACACGTGCCACTATGTGCCTAGATTGGTATTAATGAGCCAATTACTAGCAAGCAAACTTCACTTTTATGGGAGGATTCTGAGCCAGCTCCTGTTCTGTAGGATGTGTAACTTCCTCCACAGAACCTGGACCTTGTTCTACAGGGCATCAATCCAACCAGCACTAATACATCTGGATTTCATGGACTTCAACAAGGATGCTGCTTCTTCATAACCCAACTCCTGCACAGACTAATCTAGTTATTGAGCCATATGCAAGCTGTAGTCAACAAAAAAAAAAGGCACAAATCTATAATTTTTATTTCCTATTCCTTCTATATTACCCCTGAAAAGAGATTTATTTTTTTAACCACAAAAAAAAAAGGTAATTTTTTTTTCTGAGGTAATTTTTCTAAGCTTCCTGACTTCCTTCTCTTCTTTTATGTACATCATTGTAAACCAAACCCCAAGTTTTGCTTTATTTAGCCCTTTTTATATAAGATTTTGTAGTGATGAAAAACTCTTACCCAAATATAACTGCATTCCATTGCATTATGTTGTTCTCAGATGGTGCACCACTGACACCCACAGGAGGGTCTTCTTGCAATCTAGGAATTACAAACACAGCATGACAAACCTTGTAGAGGTGAAACACCCCTTCAAGTGGAACTGTAACAGCCAGAATTTGTAAATATTTCCTCACTCCAAATCAGAGAGCACATTATCCACCTTCCCAAAAGACAAAGCCCCAAGATGAGGCACAGCAGGAGGACACCAACACCCCAGTGTCCCAGCAGGTTAGAGAAGGTGTGCAGGGAGCAAGGTGTTAACATTTTGCAGCCATGAACAGGAGCTGAAAACCAGCCAGTGACCCTCCCAGAGCACACAGGCTGGGGCTGAGTGTGAGGGACCCTGAGCTCCCAGAGCCCTGTGGCTAAATTGGGTATAAGCCTATTTTGACTGGCAAGCTGATTGCTTCAAAAGGGAGCCAGGGGAAAAAAAAACCCCTGTGTCCTGCTCCTTCTTACCAGTTCAAATGTGTTTATCTCTAAAGCAATCGTGGAAGCTTTTAGAATTATTTATAGTTCCTTAATCCTGGGGCTAGGGAAGAGCATGCTACTTGCTGAAAGCCTCAGAGACTCAGCCCAGACAGAAATATCTATCACAATCAAGAGCAGGATCCAGTTACTCCCCCTCTGCCCACCCTGCTGCTTCTGCTAAAGGGTCACCTAAGACCCTCCACAACATAAATCAGCCACCTCCCATCATCTGAGCAGCAATTTCCCTGATCAAACCCACCCTGCCTGCTCAGCCTTTTGAGCTAGGGGAGAACCAAGAGAACCCTGCATATCAAGGCACCAAATCTGCCTAAATCTTGGGGTGTAAATGCAGATTTATTTGGAGCTGATGCTGGCAGACAGCTGGGACACCCTCCTGTGCCTGTGATAACACCTCACCCACGGGTGGAGGCGAGCAGGGACACTGCCCTGCAGACACAGCCCTAGAACCCAAACCTTATTTTCCTATTGGTTTAGTCAAATCCATCAGAGGAGCTGCAAAAATCTGTTAAACTGCTCCCTCCTTCACTGCTCCTGACAATCACAGCATGCCAAAAGAGTTTATATTTAATGAAGTGAATCAGCTCACAGCCCACAGTCTGCTTCTCCAGCGTGAGGTACAAGTAACACGAGGCTGAATGTATAAATATGTAACTTAAGGCAGGGAAGAGAAAAGAGCATGCCAAAAGAGTTTATATTTAATGAAGTGAATCAGCTCACAGCCCACAGTCTGCTTCTCCAGTGTGAGGTACAAGTAACACTGACTGTATAAATATGTAACTTAGGGCAGGACAGAGAAAAGCAGGGAAAAAAATCACATTAAAAAGTTGCCTAAGTTTTGGGGTTTAAAGCTGTCATCTATTTGATAAATAAATGTCACTCACTTTGTGTTTATTTGGTTATATTTTTCCATGGATTTAAAGTGTCCTCTCCACCTTAAAGTTTAAAATTATTAAAGCTGTCCTCCTAAGGTTATCAGCTCAAACAAAACCTGCATCTTATTGCAATCCTGAAAAATGACTTTGTTTCTCACCTTGGAAAAAAAATCCCTGGCTCAGGTCATCCGTGGCACCCAACACAACAAAAAAAGACTGAATATCCTGTTTTGACTTGGACAGGAACCAAGCAACACCCACTTAGCAAACACCAACACCCAAATGGAACAGAAGAACTTGGCTCCACGTCTCAAAAACGTCCCTTTTTTTTTACTTTTCCTGCTGTAGTTTTACACGTGGTGACGTAAAGGGACAACAGTACACGTCAGCTGCTGACTGATGTATTTTCAGATAGTGATATAACATAACTAGGCTAAAAAAAGACAGACACTATCCTAGCTGACTCACCTCCAACAACTCGGGAGTGACTCCAGGCCAGGGAAATCACACAACACCCTCCAAAGGGCTCCAAGAACCCCCCACCTTTTTTTCCACGCTGTTATAAACGTGTTTACGTGTCAGACTGGAAAGAAATTATTCTAGACTCTGTGGTTCAGGCATTAACATTTAAAAAGCGCAGCTCATCACCACTTCTTCAGCAGTTTGTATACATTATACAAACGATTCCTCACGACTGAAAAACTTTAGAGAGGACAGGCTGTGCATTAAAAACATTCAAGGGCATTCTGGGTTTTCTTACATACAGATAAATGGCTTGTGAATTCTTTGCGCCTCATTTTTAGGTGATTTTCGGAGACCGGCAGCCCCACGAGCCTCAAACACACCGAAAATCTCCCTGATCTGCTCAGAAAACCGGACCGAACACCGCCGGGGTACCGAAGCTGGTGGGAGGAGGAGGAGGAGGAGGAG